TTTCAGTATCTTATAGTATTATGGTGTCAAGACCCTAAATTATCAGTTATATTAAATCAATGGTGTGTCGCGGCATTTGTTATTTAACAGGTGAACTTACAAAGAAATTACCTATAATCCTTTAGATAATGAAACAGCGAATTGTTTTTGAACACAAGGTTTACTACTACGTAATCGACTATTTGATTTACATCTTTTGTATTTTTTGAGGTATTAAACGTCACTTAGTTTCCTTTATCAAAGATGTCAGTTTTAATATGTTGATGTTACCCGGAGTATCCAGAAAACTGGAAATCCTTTTCAATTAAAATCAGAGTTGAGCGCACCTTCTACGAGTGCGGGGATCGAACTCACACGCAGATTTCATCCGGGGACAGATACTTTGTCTTTGCATCTTATTTCAATAGCATAAACTTTTTTCTGTTTATGTGTTGTATCCATCTTGAATCTTCAAGGCTATGCATTTAAAATATATTGACCACTTACCGGAAGTGTTACATAAATCTTAGCTTACTATTCTGTAATTAAAGTATTCTCAGCAAAACTTTATGGAACAGTTACAAAAGTGAGAACTGGACCTTTTTAATAGAGAAATACACTTCTGAATGGAAACAAATTGTAATGAATAACTATATTGATTGGTTCATATATGCGTACTTTGAACTATCATTTTTAAATAATCTTTCAAGTTTTTTTAAGCAAGCAGGATTTATCTTCATATATAATTTTATTCTATTTATTTTATGAGATTGTACAGTTTTATGATCACTATTTAATTATTAGTAAGCGAAATGTTGTACTTATATAATTGTATCCAAATTTTACTGAACTGTATCAGGTAATTACGTAAACAAAGTGCTTATGATTTATGTATCTATATATATATGTGTGTGTTTTTGTTATAAGACAGTATGTTTTTGTTCCTGATTACACATGTTAAATGTTGATCAAATAACTGTAGTTTTTGTGGTTACCGTAGAGTTGTTTAACATATATATGTTAAGAGCATGAGTCTTTCTTTGTCTTGGAGTAGTTACTAGGAATTTAAAATGTTTCAAGTTTATTGGATGTTGATGAATAGTAACCTAGTCAACATTTATTCCATACGCCTCTATCTTTGTATGCATTGTTATCTCTCATCAAATGATTAAACAGATAAAACTTTTGGATTCATTATTATTATATTCTATTATATGGGTCTGAAACAAAAAAATGACATATCTAAAACAAACATACGTAATATTATATGCTCAATTCCTTAATATTAAACAGAGAAACCACATTCCATTTCAACTAACACGGAATTAAGCAGAAATGAATTTGAAAGAGGTAAAGCTCACCAAACATTTATAATTCATTATAAAGCAGCAATCCATGCCTTTTACCTAGTAAACAAGACTCATCACTGAAGCTCGAATCAACAACGAAGTTGAAAGGCATTGCATGGTCCCGTTTACAAAAAAAAGCAGTATCAATGATATGTCATGCCAGGATAGATAAAAGTACGCCAAACAAGGTTAAATAATGTGTATCAGTAGGGCGGCATCAACAATTTTTTTTTATACTTAAGTCTATTAAAATAGTGACATGTGATTAATTGCAAATATCACACAAGATCAGCGGACAAGGATATAAATAACTACATAGTATGTCATTCAAGAATCAAATCAAATTCCACATTTGTCTTAAGAGTATTTAAAACTTAAATTTATAACGATTTTTTTTTGTTCTTTCAATCTTTCAGTTGTTAGTGTCGTTTACTGTTAATCTTTATATCGCATATTTCTCTCGGTTATCATGTGTTCTATAAATTCTTTGAAGAATATTTTGATCTTTCGGATCTGAGAAAGTTTTACAAAATTCTATCAAACGGTTCAAGAGCAGTTGTGAATACAAAAAGTGGGACAGAGGGGGGACCATTTCAAAAAGAGTGCGATCCTCCATTCAGCGTAAAATTTCCGTAGAATGCCCTCTTATATGAGTTTCAGGATCAAAGCATTAAAGGAAAACATTAAATCGTATTATACTTCATTGTAAACATCAATCGCATAGAATTGGTTCACTTCTCAAAAGTATTTGAGGACTAGGAGACAAAAGATTATTTTCTATAATGTAATTATTGTTTGTTTCAAGTTGTTATGACCTTGACCATATATATTTATTGTGACCTCAAAATCAATAGGGACCTTCCTCTCATTATATGTGGTCATATATCCAAGAGTACGATTTAAATTTCATGTTTATATGATTTTATCTTACCTCCTATACATTTCTAGGAATATCATTGGTTAACAGCGACCGCGTGGAGACCGTGTATATTTCATATGGGGTTAGTAGGTGTGGTTTATTTCAATACACGGTTAGTAGCGGTGTTAAGTCCTTTTATAAAAACAACACGACGTTGAGCATAAATCTGAAACATTTCGCCCGGAAAACAGACGAAAAACATTATGATGAACGATTGAAATAAATGCAGAAATCACATTAAAAGTTATTATTGTTGGCAATTGTTTTTGTATAGACCAATGGAAGTAGGTTATTTGTATTGCAAACTTGATCACTTTGATAGGCCACTAGTCTAAATGCCATATGTTAAGATAGTCGGTAAGATAAATTCGTTACACAGTGTGCTAATGACCTCTCACCCCATATGAAATTGACTGACCCCATATTTATCGTATTAGGTCACTAGCACTATGTAACTAATAATATTTGGTCTCTATTTGTGTAAAAAGGAGGCGAATGATATCAAAGTGACATTCAAACTCAAAGTCGAAAATAAACTGACAACGCCATGGCTTAAAAAGAAAAAGACAAACAGATAAACAACAGTACACAAAACATAACATAGGAAACCAAGGTCTGAGCAACATGAACCCCACCAAAAATTGGGGGTGATCTCATGTGCTCTGGAAAGGTAAGAAGATCCTGCTCCACATGTGGCACCCGTCGTGTTGCTCATCTTAGTACCAACCCAGTGATAATTTTAATTCGGTAGGTCACATTCAGGGAAAAGGGACCGGGATTGTAGTTACGACAATTGGAACATATCCGTCGTCATCTGTGAAACTGATACTCCATAATGGTCAACCAACTCGTGATGGCGTCTGAAAAATTTACGAAGGGATGATTTCGACTTCACCACTTGTTGGTTTGATAGCTTCCTTGTGAGCAGCAAACCTCTATCAAGAAATCATGATAGGAAATACAAGCCCGGGAATATCGTATCAACTGTAAGATATACACTCCGTATGCAGGTGCTGCTTGAATGTTGCTACATAGAAATGAAATGTTCACAATTGGGAAGCTTTTTGTTTTCAACCGACCATCATTGTCAATTTCTAGATGTTAGTCAAGATATGAGGCAGACTTAACTGTAACTTTGACCTTGACCTTAACATGGTGACTTCAAAATCAATAGATCTGTCTCTCATTATATGTGACCATATATACCAATGTAAGGTTGCAATTTCAGTAAGCATCCAGAAACGAAACTGATGGACTGACACATACATCAAAAACTATATATCCCACTCCAACACTTCGTTGAGTGGGCTATATATAAAGGAAGGTATAGGGTATAGGCCAATACGACAAAAAAAAAGAAATAAGTTGAAGGAACTGTTCTTTTAATTAGGAATTGAGATTATGTAGATTGAGTGTCTTCTGCAATCTTGGATTTGTCAAATAGCAGAGCACAATAATTCTAGATTTTTCATAAAATATGGAAATTTTGGGACAGAAATGCAAATCATTTGTAAAATTTAAATGAAAATCCGTTATCTAGAAAATCAGGTATTAAGTATTGTAGATTTAAATAATTAAATTCAATTAAATCTCAGAGAATTGATTTGTTTGTTTTTTCCCTTCCTTTATCAATATTGACTTTGAAATATAATGCATGTGATGTTAAACAATCTATTTTTTAGAGTCAATATTTAAAAATCTTTATCTTAATCAATAGTAAAGAATCTAAATTATGCATCAATACGAAACAAAAACATATTAAAAACTAACCCAGTGTTGATGTGTATTATATTGTTCAAAGCTTAAGTTTGAATTATTAGATCATTTTCTTGGTGATTCTTAATGTTTTATGAATTTGAATGGATGGATGGTTGTCTAACATCAATGGGAAAGTTAAATGCATATTCAGGATGAGAACATTTTAATGTGATATGAATATGAATCCTTCTGTGTATTAGATCGACAAGCTTAGGTTTTTAATGTGCTAGTTCACAAGCTAACAGTAGACAAGAATACCTTATTTTGACTCAGGGGCTGAAAAATCTTTGCTCTTATCCTAAATACCTATATATTGCCTGCTTAGTGGAGAGACAGCAATTTTCAAATCTTTGGTTTGATCGACCAGTGATTGAACCCACAACCTACCACACTCTAGGCAGGCTTGCCACCAAGAGACCACTGAGATGGTTTTGATGAATTTGGCTTCCACAATTTTTTTTTGTCAGGAATGTATAAGATGAAAGGTAGTCTGAAACATGTACTGCAAGCACTGAAAACACCGGATAAATCATATGTATACTGGATTCATTATTGTTCATGGGATACCAAATTGCGTGGACATAGTGAAAACCACAAATTTAAATGTTCAAAGAAATACAAATTTACCAGATTTTGACAAAACAATGAAATCAAATATCCACTAAACAACATTATTTCCTAATTCATGTTAATTGGTATCCATGAAAATAAATGAATCCACGATAATTTACTACATATTTTATGTGTTTATACAGGTGGAAAATAAACATGAATATCCCTGTCAATAATCTATATAAATATTTATATCAAATTTCAGATCAACAAAACTAATATCCGTAATTCAATTTATTCAAATAAATAAAGTATAAAATCTATCTATCAAATATCACTATGAATATTAACGCAAATGTTCGAGCAATTGAAATTTCAAAGATGTTCTTCAAAAATGTATTAAATTCATATAGAATAATATTTCAAATCACATATAAGCTCAGATCTAAAAATAAAATACCTCCAATACTTTCTGGTTGATAATGTTATACTTTTGCATTCAGCATTGGAATTCAAATATTCAAATTTCTCAATGAACTATAAAACTAAATTAAGATTTATTTGAAACTTCTCTAATTAAATAATTTCCAAATAGATAAGGCTGTGTTTCACAATGGTCATTTAACAACAATAATCTGTATTTTTGTTAAGGTTTACATTTTGTCATTGACTGTATAATCTTTTCTTGAAATGCAGGCCTCGTCTTCAGGGTAAGAAAATGTTATTAACCATTCAGTACATAAAATGTTGTAATAGTGTGACTATTTATAGTGTGTCTATTATTAGATTAATGCTATGATTGTACTCCTCCAGTAGAAGATAGATTAAACAGTATAGACTTGAGATTCAATGCTAGGAATGCTTGGTCAGTAGAACATCCACGTAATATCTCCTGAATTATACCAACTATTGTGTACACATCAAAAAATCTTTTGTTGGTTCTGTAAATAGAAAAACAGTTTTGTGAAGCCATGAAACAGTTTCTTGGCACCATAAAGTCTATTATCTGTATAAAGTGTTTACAGGTATTAGTGTTTGCCCTATCACACAAAAAGGGCATGGTAACTTAATTGAAAAAGGGCATCTAGAGTGTGCAAACATTTATAAAAAAGGGCACCTGCAGTGTATGGAAAATTAACAAAGGGGCACCAATAGTATGCTGCAGAAAACAAAAAAGTATCGGGTATTATACCAGTTCAATAATCACTATATGGAACATAAGTTGTATTTTAACCTTATTTTAACCATATTTAGAAATTATTGTACATGTTCTTGATGTTGATTGGAAGTTATTTAGTCTCATTTAAATAGTTACAAAAAAAGAGGGTTTGTTTAAGTGCACACCAAAGTGCTCCTAAGTAAGGGGTTTTAAAAATATAACAGGTGGAACAGGATATGATATATTGATGCAATAATACATTGCATACATTGCAGAAGGTATTAACAGTTGTTAGTTGGAAGTCATTTAGTCTCATTTAAATAGTTACAAAAAAAGAGGGTTTTGTTTAAGTGCACACCAAAGTGCTCCTAAGTAAGGGGTTTTAAAAATATAACAAGTGGAACAGGATATGATATATTGATGCAATAATGCATTGCATACATTGCAGAAGGTATTAACAGTTACTTTTTTCCACTGGACCTTAAGCAACCAACAATCAATCAATCATTTACTTTTTTTCCTCCATAATTGTTAAAAATAAAGGCATTTGTTAAGTGCTCCTATATAAGGAGGATTATAAATACAAGAAGTAAAACAGGAAGTGTCTATGTTCAAAATACGAATTTCTTTAAATTTCATACTGACCATACTCAGGGTTATGAAACAAAACACTTTTTTTATACAAATTTTGTCAAAATTATGTTTACCTTTAAAATTGTTTCACAATTCATTTTAATTTTATGCCTACTTAAATAAAGTTGTTCACGTGTAATGCTGTACATAAACAAATGGATAACATGTGGACATTTTCATTCTGACATTTCTGTATTAAATATCTACTGTTTGTTTATAATTATCTTAAAGCCCTAATTAGCAGTAAACAATCATAAACAGGGGTGATAAAACTGCCAAAGGCAAGGTATTTAACTTTATCTCATTGTCAGTTAATTAGAGTGTTACACAATCAGATAACAATTTTAGCGGAAATGCCGATGAGCATGAAATTTTGAATTTTTATTTCTGTAAAGGCTTCTATTTAGGGCATTTTCGAGACAATGGCGTCATCCAAAATAGTGAAAAAAGGGCATGGCGTCATTTATTAAGACAAAAAAAGGGCATGTCGTCATTTAAAAATGGCATGGCGTCTATCCATGCTAAACATGCTTGGGGGAAACACTAGGGATTCACCAAAATATCAAAATATTTTCTATAGGGTTATATAACTAATACATGGGCTTATTGCTTCCAAAAAGGTTAAGTATTATTTCATAGGTATTGTTGACAAACAACATTGCATTATACACAGTTGAGCAAAGAAAACCAGGCAAAAATTAAAAAAAAGTGTTTGTCATAAAATCAACATGAAATTTCTAATTTTATAACATTAAAACTGTCCATTTATAAAAAAAAATGTGTATTCAACTGCAACTTCAGCTTCTGTACAATAAGAATTATGGTTTCCCCCTTCCCTAAACAATTTCAAATGAACTTACTTGTATTTGGATAATTTCTGAAGAATTATACTGAGTTTTTCCAATAATTTATTGTCTTGTGTAGGTGCTCTCAGTACCATAGCAACAGTTCTAAACCACTGCTCATTACCACAGCTCTCTAGGAATGGAGTCTGGAAAGGTGTGTCATCTGACAACTGTAGGAAGATACCCATAGCAGCGCCCATAAATGCCTGAAAGTTTAAATTAGAGTCATTTAATATCCTCTAGCAGTCCATTGTTTATTAACTATTAATTATTTTCTTCAATAAGGTTAATATAAGTAGATTTACTCTGCCCGTCTATTTTCATTTACAAGTGCTTACATTTTATTTGTTCATCATCTTTAAAAAAAAATAGTAACAATGTTGTTTGCCATATCTGTAAAAACATAATAGTTTCACATTAAGAATTCTTATGCAAATCTTATAACATGCTTCCATATATTTAAAATGTTCCAAATGCATATATTTCAAAGCTCAAAATTTATCAATCTGTTAAAGATAGCATTAAGAAGTATTTGATTGAAAAACTGAATCACATTAAAATGTCTATCTTGTCATTGATTTTCATTACTTGCCATGTATTGTCATTTTTTTTTTAACTGATAAATTTTTTTTCCAGAGCACCCAAGTTTACCCCTGGATTTTTCGATGTTTTTTTTTGCTTAAAATTTTTTTAATATAGAGTTTTGTGGACTGTGTGTCTTTTTACATTTGACCATTGTGTTGGCTTTTTTCTTAGACTTATGGTTTTTAATTCCGTCTTGTTATTTCCTCATCCTTTAATATCTTTATATTATCTTCTACCCTACCTTATTAATAGGTTTAAGATACTGTAATACAACAGGTGTAGCTTGATAACACAGAAACAGTTCTTTACACACATCTGACTTCAGATCATTCTTCAAGACATCAAATACATGGGCTACCAGATCAACTGTTTGATAAATACACAAAACATTAAATACATGAGCTAACAGATCAACTGTTTGATAAATATACAAGTATATCATTAACATATAGTAAAACAAAATCTTCTTTGAAGTTCAGGAAAGTCCTCCCATCTTTAATGTCTAAGTCTTCTACAAACACATAAGGAAAACATTCAATTTATTCCTTTGTCAGTCAATGAAGCATAAAAATTGGTACTTTAAAGCCACTTATTCTGCTTGAAACATAAATGCAGGAATATTTATGCAACAATACACCTTATATATACTGTATCAAGTCAGGAATATGGCAGTTGTTATCAAATAGTCTGTTTCTAAGTATGTTGATATTTGTTTATGTAGCAGTTTCGTGTTTCTGTTGTTCCCTTTTTTCCCCTCTTATATTTGATGTGTTTCCCTCAGTTTTGGTTTGTGACCTGGATTTGTTTCAGTGAAATAGATTTATGACTATAGAACAGCGGTATACTACTATTGCCTTTATTTAAGTGAATTTACAATTTTTTTTTCATCTATACAGGGCTTATACTACTTCAGAATCATAGGGAGAAATGACTTCTCTTTTTGAAACTGAGAGGGAGAAATGGTGAGATTTGAAAGAGAAGTGCTCGTTCGCTCGCAGCGCTACAATGTGAGGTTTTTACTATAATACAAAGAGCCATATGTATCTTATTTCTTTTATATTGTTCATGTTGTACCTGGGTATACAATTAAAGTAACAGTTCAAATTCAAAGTTGTTTAATTTAATCATATCTAGTTGCACAATCATATTAGTCTTCTTGTCAGAAAAAAACAATTAAATATCTGGCAATAATAAAAAAGATTTTTTTTTATATCAAAAAGGAAAAAAAAGTTGTTATATCAATTAAAATTGATAGTATAAAGTTAATGCCTCTGTTCTGGGATTTTATACTCTTATCAGAAATATTTTCCTTTTGTTACATGTAGTGTAAGACACAATAGTATTACTACTAACAGTGTACTTGAAAGGCTAATTGAAAATGTTTAAAACATTTAAACTAACCAGTGTACACTACATTTGTATTTTTCACAATAGATACTTTGAAAAAGTATTTGTAATTTCCTTCACAGACTATGGGAGATAACTCTAACTTTCCAATTAGATCTTGATTTAGAGAAGACATAGAGATTCAGTAATACTTATATTATCCTTCTAAAGGCTTTCATCTTCTGTGGATTCATAATTATTTGTGGGATACCAATTTCCAGGATTTTAGGGATATATGTGACCCACAAATTTAAATATTCAATTAAGTTCAAATGTTCTATAGGCTTGTATGCAGACTTTGGCAAAACCATGAAATCAAATAGCCACTAAAATATAATATTTCCATAATCTACGAAAATAGTTACCCATGATAACAAATGAATTCACAGTATAAGAGGCATGTGCCCAAATATAATAGTTGTAAGTCTACAGAACATTTGTTATTTGCAGAGCTGAAAGGTCAATCTCCATCAGTAAAGTATCAGTAGTCAATACTAAATTTTCATCTAATCACAGCAAATAGTCAAGTATGTTTGCTTTTTTCTATGTATATCAAACTTATATAAAAGCTAATTATCAGAAAAAGACAAAAGGGAGATAATTTCAATTTTCTTAGATACTGCATCTCTAACTGATTATAAAGCAATAAAATTTCCAAACATAACCTCAACTTACCTTGTGAAAGAGTTTTAAGTATAATTAGAGAGGACACGAGCCTGACATGTTGGTTAGAACTTCTAAAGTAAATGCCATCTTTTGATTTGTCTAGCTTTGCTGGTGACAAAGGGAAATCACTCTTGTCACTACTAACATCCATAAATTTGACTGTTTTAGATCTGTATAATTCCTCTCCTAATCGTCTTAGTGTCGATGACAGGTTAGATTTCTGAAAAAAAATAAAAATTATAAAATGGTGAATTATTGCTTTATCCTTTTTAAAATTAATTCAAATATTGAACACACTTATCTCCAATTTAGGGGGTACTTTACTTTATTTTGCTATTTGTTTTATGTATTTTTGTCATATAGCTCTTCAACTGTTTCAGTACTTATACACCCCTCGGATTTCAAATGTTTGGCTTTGAGTGTTCCTGATGAAGGTAAATCCATAAAAGCGCTTCGGACGCATGAAATTATTTAACGCGTTGTTTTCAATTTTTTACTAATGATTCTCGCTCTAGAAACTCCTGAAAAATCAGCAAAAAAATAGGAATGATGAATTGGTGATTTCCTAACCTAAAAAGAACTAGATTGGGAAGAACATATCAACAACATTACCAGCAAAGCCAGCAGAAGCCTTGGTTTCCTCCACCGAAACGTACGCATTCGCTCTAAAAGCATCAAAGAACAAGCATACAAAACTCTAGTAAGGCCCCAACTAGAATACGCCACAACAGTATGGGACCCATATCATCAAAAACATACTGACCAAATTGAAAAAGTTCAAAGGAGGGCTGCGCAATACATCACCAAGCGCAACAGAAACAGATCAAGTGCCACGGACATGATTAACGAATTGGGTTGGAAAAGCCTCCAAGAACGACGCAGAGAGGCCAGGCTCGCAATGATGTATAAGATTGTCAAATTTGAAAGACATGTACCTCCAAAAACCAACTAAAATATCCAGACACACACAACAGCATGGATACATGGTACAAACAGCAACCAAAGACTGCAGGAAATGGTCCTTCTTTGTGAACACCACCAAAGACTGGAACCAGCTTCCCTTGGAGATCGCCACATCACAGTCATTTGAGACATTCAAATTTCAAATGACCAACCTTACAAACTAAAGATGAACTTTTGCTTTTATCCTGTTTTTAACCATGCGGAACCAATTTTGCCAGTATATTCAGAAAGTTGAATGTGGGCAGTATATGGAAGAAGATTTGTTTAGATTTAAGGAAATAAATTTGACCCATAAAAGAGACATGATAAATTACTTTAAATATTTATTCATGGTCTCTTTTTTTTTTAAAGTGAGTCTTCAAAAGTTGTAAGAAACATGTGCAGTACAATACATTAGCCATAAAATCAAAGATCCAATGATGTGAATCCACATCTTTTATCAACCACAATAAAAAAATTGAGGATCCCTTGGGAAAAAAACATTTTTTGAATGGATTTAAATTTGTTTTTTTTACATAATTTTTGTTCCTTTATTTCAATTTTCAGTTATCTGCATTACTAAAATTATTGCTTATTTACATATTTTGTGCAGCAATATTCTGCCAGATACAATACAATACTATATGAATTATATATTTATGACTTACCTGTTGGCCTGAAGCTTGCACTACATTGACAAGGGACCAGTATAAATTGTAAACAATGGAGGCTAATCCTGAAATTATTTGGAGGGAATTCTCTCAACATATCTACTGAAGTAGGTAAAATCTACAAAATATAAATGAACCAATTTATGTAAAAGTTTAAAAAATATTTTAAAATTTACGTTTTTAAAATTTTTCATATTTTTACTATTGAATTGAATTTTTCAAAATATTATCTGAATATATATTTTTAATTATTTACCTATACATCAAAATTGAGAAGACGTTAATGAGGCATTCAAAAGTTTTAAGATAGTTAAACAAATGTGTTTTGTAGTTTTTTTTTGTACTGATATTTAAATATATATCTATAATTAAATAAACCACCTGCGATATTTTCAAATAAAATTCTACATGTCTTTTGGTTATTTGTGTTGGGTTGCTTTTTCACTGACTTAAACCCTCCACTTCAATAAATTTTATTCATAGGACTTTTTAAAAAGATCTTTTGATACCTTTAAAACTCTTTCCAGTATGAACTCTGTTGAAGAAAACCTTTCTATAGCTCTGGTGGGTTGGTCTGTTACAGTGTATCGTAGATGTGCATCACAGATCCAGTCCAGCAATATACCCATGATGTCATAACTACAGGCACTGGTTGAAAACTGGAAAATAAGTAATTATCAATAAATCAATATGAGGAATCGAAACTAAGTTTCAGTCAATACTCAATTCAAGAGAAAAAAAATGAGAATAAAAATTTAATCAGTTTGCAATGGTATTCCTTTCAAAAGAGAAAAACACTGGGCAGCTTCAGAGCAAAAACACCTTTTTAAAACATCTGATAAATTCTTTGCAGCAAACAATTTAAACTTCAACAGATTTTTTTATTGTATTTCAAAAAGTATAAATTATTTCTGAGTTAACTCCCTTTGATCAATTACACTTATGCTTACTGTGTATTTTTTTGTTTACTTGTTACCAAGCTACTGCAAAAAAAAAAGGTTAAACCCAAATTAAATCCTTGAACTGTTGTGCTGTCCAAAATGAGATCTTTTAATAACTAGTGTATTCAATGTGTATTTTTATATAAAATATCGTGATATTTGATTTATATGAAAATTACAACTTTTATATATTTATATATATGTTTCTTAATCTGATATCATGAGGAACAATTTATCCCCCAATTCTTAGTACTTTATCTTGATCTAAAACTTTGATCAATTGAATTTGTATTATCAAATGAATTTAATCATCAATACATTTTGTACTATTTTAAAAAAGATCAAATTAATTTAAAGTTATTTCCCCTTGATCAAACGTCACTCAGGATGATTTAGAACATATTGTTTTAAACAGAATGTTGCCCTCTAGACATCCAAAATTTTTTTTACATTGGCTTGCTGTCTCGTCGATACCCCAAACATCACCTTTAAATCATATTCGAATGTGAGATGACAGATTTACAAGGTTTTAATTTGGCTGATTTTCAGTAAAATTGTACTTCGACAAGCACAATGTAAATTTCTGGATTGCATCTGTGCAAGGTTGAGAGAATGCACACCATGTCTCATGTTTCAGTCCATTATAAAAATAAATGAATCTCGAACTACAGTTCAAAGTTACCTTCTCCTGGTTGAAGACTTATATTTTCTTAATTGCATCCTTAATTTATTTATTTTCATGGGTTCCAATCTTTGCGGATAAAAAAAAAATTTAATTTCACAGTTTAGCTAAAGTTTGCACATATATGAAATTTGAAATTTTTTGTTGATCATTTGAATTTTTGGTTAACCTTTATCAAGGAAATCAACGAAATTGATACCCCATCTCCAGTAACTTTATTTTGATAACTATGCACTTTCCCCTGCTAACTCAAACATGTCAAAGTTACCTTTTTCTCCTTCTGTACTTTGATTTTGTCTTCCCTTTGTTGTCCTTTCTGTTTAGGCACAGCAGTAGATAAGGCTATGTTACCCAGTTCTACTTCCTTCTGTCTTTCTGCAAAGTCTTGTTTTCTCTGAAAAAATAGATAATTGCATTGAGATAATTTTATATCATATATATTTTTACTTACCAGTCAAGGAATATACATTAGGATTATCTCCCTTACAATGTTCTCATAACTCGCAACACCTGGATGATTTCAAACATCTATCTAACCTTGATCATCCGGGTGTCCATCCTCCATAGTTTATTTTTCGGCGGCAACAAAATAAGACGTTCTCACTGTCTGAGACTTTCTAGTAGAGTCTTGTCGTTGAAATTTTTTTATATGTACTTTTGATATTATCGTACGGTCATATTAGACGATCGCTGAAGAATATAGACACTCACTCGCTGATGAAAATGCTGAAAATCTAGAATCAGATAGTGCAGGTGAAACGCCAACGGGTGACGTTCTCGTGATAAAAATGGCGAGGACAACAAAAGACTCTTCATCGAAGAAAAAGAAACGTGTGTCAAAGACCTCTGAACTTGAAAATAAGTTTACCAGTATTGAAGACAGGTTTGATAAGAAATTTGATATGTTATTTGCATTTTTCAACAAGTCATGTGCTACTACAGGTAGTTCGACTGTTACAGAGGTTTCTCAATCTGGTGGTTTAGCCACGCAGAAGGAAAAAAGTTCGGATAACGTTCCAAGTGCAGGGGAGCGTAGACCTGTAATATCTTTGAATGCAAATCTTGATGAGGACTTGGGAAGTCCTAGAGTTAGAAATGTTGATTTTGACAATAGGTCAGAAATTTCTCTTCATATAGACAGTCGTGAAAAGGCTGATTTACTTGATCTATGTTCATCAGAGGATGAAGATTCTCGTGGCATAAGTAGTCCTGCTTATTCTCAGGCTGGTAATAAATCTAAAAATGTTGATAGATTTAGCCAATATTTACATACTCAACCTGTTAGTAACAATGTTGATAGTCAGTCAAATCAGAGACAAACAAGTAACATTGATAATAATAACAATAAAACTGTAGACAAGCAGTCAGATAATTTAAAATTATTGTCCAAACTGTTCAAAGAAGATATTCCTTCAGAATCTTCTGATAATTCTGGTGGCTTGATCATTGATGAAGCACAGGTTAGAATTCTAGAACGTTCCTGGAGAACTAAAAATCCAGAGAAACTTACAGCATTTAAAGATGAATACCGTAGTTGTTTTCCGGTTAATGATAAATCTAAAAGCTTTTTGCAAGTCCCCAGTTTGGATGATTTATTAGAACCAATGATAAGTACAAATAGTGTTAAGTCATGGGATAAACACAAGCAGTTGGTTACTCAACCATTAAAACAGATAGAAAACCTAGCCTATCAAGGGCAGGTGGCTTCACGCATGGGTATTATATCAGTGTTGTATATGCAACAAGCATTATGAACCTTATTAGAGAGGGTTGAAAATAAAAATGTTAGTGATGAAACTTGTCAAATGGTGAAAGACTTGTTTGCAATTTCGACAAAGTCTCTTGATCAGGTAGGACACACAGGTGCGTTTAACCATATGATACACAGGAAAGCTGCAGCTACTGAGTCTGGTTTAAATAATTTGAAAGATATACAGGCTAATGTGTTGTATTTACCTCTTTCTAATGAGAGTGTATTTGGTAAAGGTTTGGAGGACAAACTTGAGAAACGTAAAGAGCAACGTGAGCAACTGGACGATCTGTTACCAGAATATAAAAACAATAATAAGAGAAAGTTTGATTCTAGTCAGGTGCATCAAGATTGGCAAAATAAAGCTCCTAGATACAGTTCTAATAGTTTTAATAATAACAATGCTAATTCAGCTGATAACAAACGCTCAGGGTTTAATTACAATAAATCTTCTGTGAGATCTGCTCCTAGGAAGTTTCAGAAGGACAATAAAGCTGATGACTATGGGAAAAAAGATAATGAAAAGAAAACAGGTGAAAACTGGAATTCTTTTCGGATCCCAAAGAAAAACAGTAGCTGACTCAGAGTTGAAGGTAATAATTAATCAGAATCAGTCCGAGATATCAGTTGGGAATCGTCTAAGATTTTTTCTGGAGAATTGGAAAAAAATAACAGACGATCAATGGGTCTTGTCAGTAATAACAGAGGGTTACAAACTAGAGTTTCTAGAAATGCCATTTTGGACAGGCATACGGAAAACCTCTGTGGCATTAAAAGACTCAGATATTTTAATCCCAGAAATAAATACTCTTATAGAAAAAGACGCTATAGAACCTGTTCGCCAGCAAGATGCAGCAACAGGTTTCTACAGTGCATTTTTCCTAGTCCCCAAAAAGAACGGGACAATGAGACCAGTAATAAATCTCAGACCCCTCAACAGGTATCTCAAGAAAATACATTTCAAAATGGACACTCTCACAAAAGTATTAAGCTTGGTAAAAATAGGAGACTGGGCCATTTCTCTAGATCAAAGCGTTGCTTATTTACACATCCCAATATTTCAAAAACATCGCAAGTTTCTCAGATTTTCTGTTCAGAACCAGTGTTATCAGTGGAAAGTTCTTTGTTTCGGACCGACTTCAGCTCCGAGAGTCTTTCCAAAAATGGTTTCTGTAGTAGCAGCTTTTCTGAGAACTCAAAATGTAAGACTATCAGTCTATATGGACAACTGGTTAGTAGTCAATCAAAGCAAGAATCAATTATATCTAGATCGAAAGAAATGTCTCGATCTCCTAATTTCACTAGGTTTTCTTATGAACAGAGAAAAATCAAGTCTAGTACCCACTCAAAAATTGGTATATCTAGGTGGACAGTTTCATTTGGACAAGGGACTAGTTTGCCCAACTCAGGAGAGAATAGTCAAACTGAATATGGCAGTATTAATTCTTTCATCAAGGAATGCAGTGTCAGCATTTGACTTCCTACAATTACTAGGCATAATGGCATCTTGCGTAGAGTTAATTCTGACTGCACGCTTGTTCATGAGACCCATTCAACTGCATCTCCTCTCATTTTGGAGACCAAGTTGTCAGGATCATTCCATAAAGATCCCAGTTACACCTCATCTGAAATCACATCTCAGTTGGTGGAAAAATTCAGCAAACATGCAGAGAGGCCAATATTTTCAACTGGCTCAGACTTCTGTCACCATAACGACAGATGCTTCGAAAAACGGGTATGGGGGTTTTATGAACAATCAAATATTTCAAGGGGAATGGTCAGAAATACAGAGCAAGAAGCATATAAATTCCCTAGAATTGGAAGCAGTGTTTTTAACGCTGAAACACTTCCTAAATCAGTTGAAAGGACAATATGTTCTGATAAGATCGGACAATACCACAGTGGTTCAATATATAAACAAACAAGGGGGGACAAAATCACCCACTCTTTGCTACCAAACATGGGATTTATGGAATCTTGCAATTCAAAACAATATTCGGTTGAAAGCTGCTCATATAACAGGAAAATCGAACATTTTAGCAGACCAACTCAGTCAAACCAAAATTCAACATACAGAATGGTCTCTGAACAAACATGTAGTTCAGAATCTATTTCAAATTTGGGGGACTCCTCTCATAGATTTATTTGCCTCAATAGACAATCGTCAGACAGAAATTTTTTGTTCATGGAGCCTACATCAGAAAGCTTTAGCTCTGGATGCTTTGACAATTTCATGGGAGAGAATGTACGCCTATGCATATCCCCCAATTTGTCTGATTCCAAAAGTCCTACAATATATGAGGCAGTACCATTGTCAGATTTTGTTGATAGCTCCCCAATGGCCATGGAGGCATTGGTATCCAGAGCTGCTTCAATTATTGATAATTCCAGAATTGTTATGTCAACCGAAAACTCGGATCTATCATCTCAATCCACAAATTTCAAGCTGACTGCATGGCTTCTATCAACGAACGGTTTACAACAGAGGGCTTTTCTAAAGGAGCTAGAGAGTTACTCTCCGCATCATGGCGGAAAGGAACTCAAAAAGATTACTGCTCAAAATTCAAAAAGTTCAATAGCTGGTGTTGTACAAGGAAAGTTGATCCACATAAAATATCTTTAAGTCAGATAGCTGATTTTTTATCATATTTATTTGATAGTGGTTTGCAATACAGAACAATTGCAGGATATCGCTCAATGTTGTCCACAGTATTACCTCCAATAGATAATTTCAAAATTGGACAATATCCTAAAATAATTAGATTGATTAAAGGTGTTTTCAATACCAGGCCTCCAGTCGCAAAACTACTACCCGAGTGGGATTTGCACATAGTATTAAGAATGTTAGAAAATTGTCCTGTTGGCACTGTTGAACAAATGAGCTTAAAAGATTTGACTTTAAAAGCTGTATTCTTAACTGCCATTACTACTTTCAGGAGATGTAGCGATCTGCAGGCACTAAGAACGGATGAAAGCTCCATGAGAATACAGGCTAATGGAATTACTTTTATAAGACATGGCCTAGCCAAACAGGATACGGAGAAACATTTTGGAGCAAAAATTTTCGTACCTACGTACACTAAAAATACTTCTTTAGATCCATGGAAATGTTTATTACAATATTTAGATAAAACAAAACTGTTGCGAAAAAAATTACAGCAAGACCAAAGAGGGAAATTATTTTTAGCTTTATGTGAACCTCACAAACCAGTTACTTCTCAGACCATTTCACATTGGATTGTTCAAATCATAAAACAGGCTTATTCTGACTCTGAATCATCAGGGAAACGGAAAATACATGCACATTCTACAAGAGCTATTGGTCCTACTTGGGCATTCTTTAAAGGAGCATCTATCAATTCGATCTTAGAATCTGCAGATTGAAGTTCGGAATCTACCTTTAGTAGATTTTATTTGCGTGAATTGGATGTAAATGTGTTACAGAAAATAGACTAAGTTGATATTTTCGGCGAGTTGCTCAGCATGTTTTTTGTTATTCATTGAAATGTTATTGGTGGAAGCATTTTAAATGGTGGAAGAATTTTATATGTTTTTAACTATGAACTACATTTGAACTTATTATGAAGTTTGAAATGACTTAGAATCACAGAGAAGTTTTCTGTTATTAGATATGTGTTGTAGAAAGTCTCTTCAGGTGAGATAATTTACTTATAACACTCCTCCTTAGGTTCAGACTGCTTTGAAATCAGTAGTAATCCTAATGTATATTCCTTGACTGGTAAGTAAAAATATATATGATATAAAATTGAGAATTTGTTTTCAAGTTCTAATTTTATGAATTATTTTTACTTACCAGTCAAGGCTCCCACCTCCTCCCCAGTTATAAATAATTTTCGGTATATGGAATAATTTTGTTCCCGCCGATAAATTGAGAAGGATCGACACCTGGATGATCAAGGTTAGATAGATGTTTGAAATCATCCAGGTGTTGCGAGTTATGAGAACGTTGTAAGGGAGATAATCCTAATGTATATTCCTTGACTGGTAAGTAAAAATAATTCATAAAAATAAAACTTGATAACAAATTCTCAATTTGAATGTTATTTACTTTAATCATGTTTATGGTGAAAAAAAAACAATGTGTAAGATAGCAAATCTAAATTTTGGTGTTTGTAAGCTTTACAACAAAAAATCTCAAAATACAAAAAATTGTCTTATTTTTTTTGTACATGGTATTATATCTGTGAATATATTGCTTTTTGTAGTGTTTCACAATTGTCTACTGAAATTCACAGTTATGGTACTGTACAATAAGTTAAAGATCCATGGATGATTCAATAACAATGTTCTGCCTCTTTCCTTGAAACACACCAAAAAATCTACTTTTGTCTTTGTTTGTGTATTGTATATTCAGAAATAATTGCTTGCATTTATCATTGCAAATTTTCAAGAATGGACTGATATGCGAGTTTAATTATTGCGATTTGAAAAAATCTGCATAAGATCTATGTTTCAGTGTTTAGAATGCAAGTTCTTATTATGGCAATACTCACACAGTCGCATTATTTGCATTAATAAAAACCTCGCAATAATTTCTGAATTTACAGTATGTGTTTTTAGAGAGTGTTATATTGTGTAATTTGTTATGTGTTAAAGGGGATTTATAGTTTAAGCATGCTGTCCAAATATATACAATATTTATTCTTAATGAAATAGTGTACAATGAATTTAATGCCATCTAAGACAATTTAAACATGACAATGACAAAAGATAGCAAAGTAACTATACTGCTTTCTTGCAAGAACTATAAGAAGTAAGATTCAATATTTAAATAATTCTATCACCTTCAGCAATTCCTAACCAAATACTTGGCTTAAGATCTTACCTGTAAGTTTGTAAGTCTGGCTTGAACACTCACAGCTTGTTTCTCTAACTTGTCATGCTGAGTTCTTACCTGTAAGTTTGTTAGTCTGGCTTGAACACTCAAAGCTTGTTTCTCTAACTTGTCATGCTGAGTTCTTACCTGTAAGTTTGTTAGTCTGGCTTGAACACTCACACTTGTTTCTCTAACTTGTCATGCTGAGTTCTTACCTGTAAGTTTGTTAGTCTGGCTTGAACACTCACACTTGTTTCTCTAACTTGTCATGCTGAGTTCTTACCTGTAAGTTTGTTAGTCTGGCTGAACACTCACAGCTTGTTTCTCTAACTTGTCATGCTGAATTCTTACCTGTAAGTTTGTTAGTCTGGCTTGAACACTCACACTTGTTTCTCTAACTTGTCATGCTGAGTTCTTACCTGTTAGTTTGTTAGTCTGGTTTGAACACTCACAGCTTGTTTCTCTAACTTGTTATGCTGAGTTCTGACCTGTAAGTTTGTATGTCTGGCTTGAACACTCACAGCTTGTTTCTCTAACTTGTCATGCTGAGTTCTTACCTGTAAGTTTGTTAGTCTGGCTTGAACACTCACAGCTTGTTTCTCTATCTTGTCATGCTGACTTCTTACCTGTAAGCTTGTTAGTCTGACCTGAACACTCACACTTGTTTCTCTAACTTGTCATGCTGAGTTCTTACCTGTAAGTTTGTTAGTCTGGCCTGAACACTCACAGCTTGTTTCTCTAACTTGTCATGCTGACTTTGTAATGTTTCAAACTGAAAAGAGATATCAATATATCAAAAATAATTATAACATATATTCAAATATCTGTTTTAGATTTTATCTTCACTCCTTTAAAAAAATGTCTAGCTGTTGTATTTAAACCTTTTATTTCAAGTGTTCTGGATACAAAATGAGATATTTCCACAATATTTTATGTGCCATGCCAAGCAGTCATTTTTGTCTTCCTTATTGGAATAAATGAGAGAATAAGATGTCTTTGCTAAACTTTTCTATTTGTGAAATGATTTGTGCCCCCTTCCATAACCTAATATAAATATAAGGAGATGTAGTATGATTACCAATAAGACAATTATCAACAAGTGAACATAGGATGAGGATATGAACAACTTTAAGTCGCCATGTAGCATTTAACCATTAGGAAAACTCATACTCAATGGCCCTGGGACTAACAAAACTTGAAACAATTCAAAAAGAGAAACAAATGGCCTGATTTAGGCTTCCCTTTTCTCCTTTTGATTGATTGATTGATTGTTGTTTGCTTAATTTTCAGTGGCAACTATTTCCTGCAAATTTTGGACGAAATTGTCCAAAAACTAGTTAAAATCAAATTGCACTTACAGAACTTGTAAATATTGTATATTCATATCAGTTACATCAGAGGCGTATGTCAATATACATATATCAAACCCATCATGTGAATATTATGATAGTTTATCAACCCAGTAGTTGTTAATAAACTCATCATAGTTACATCAGGGGCTTATGTCAACATGTATGTCAGACCTCACATGTGAACATATTGTGATAGTACAAAGTAGTTTATCTGCTTTTAGTAAATACGTGTATACTGATATACAGAAGTACTGTAAACCAACTTATTTATCCAAATACTTTATTTCATGTTTAGCCTTTTTAAGTTGACTTTGCAGTGATTTATTTTCCTGATTTTCTAATTATCTTAATCTATTCCTGTAAAGGAAGACCCAAGTTTATCATATTCCTATTATTTTGCTACCGTCGAAAGTTACGAAAATGAATCGCACGCCAAAATAAAATGGTTTACAGCATGTAATACAAAAGTCCTGGACTATGAACACTTGAACAGAGCAATTTTAAACAACATCATCCACCATGAATTAAGTAGGTGAAAACTGAAGGGGGAAAGATAATCACATTTCGGTTTCAACAGTATTCCTATGATAGGAATGGCTGAGACTTTGTTGCCTTAAAAAATCACACATTTTTTCTCAGTTTATCTTCATGATATATCATATCAATATTAAAACTGATTTGATTACACAAAAATGTCCAATGTCATTGAAAAGTGTATTATTTTATAATAATTTTGACCTTATTATTACTGTACTTTTTGATTCAGGAGTAAAACTTGAGTGTTAATTTGCATGTGTATTTTTTTTACTTTATATAAAAATAAGGAGATGTGGTATGGTTGCCAATGAGACAACTATTTACAAAAGTTCAAATGAAGTGGATGTAAGCAATGGGAAGCATGCCAGAGCCCTGTAATGCAAATACTCTATAGAGGTTCTAAAAAGCCTGAATCACTCATTTGGTGAAAAATTTCACATTTGATATTTATTTTCACCTTGATTGCAGTTTCTTATTGGAAGATTTTATTTAGCTGACCATTTTTGCTGTTTTCTTTCTATCTCTAATAGTTTTCAAGAAAATATCCAAAACAAATAAATGGGGAATGTGTCCATGGGACACAGATGTTCCCCCGCTTGCATATCATATAAATTTATAAAGGGACATAACTGAAGAACGGTAAAAGCAACGCTACCCAAATTTGTACTTGATCTGAGTTTTGTGGTAATAAGTATTATGTATTAGTTTCATAACATTTGGTTGAGGCAAACTTAAGAGAACAGAAACGAAAAATTCAGCAATTTTTCCATCTATAAAGGGGCATAACTCTAGAACAGTAAAAGTGACACCACCAAAATTCAAACTTGATATGTATTTTGTGTTAATAAGCATTGTGTATAAATTTCATTACATTTGGTTGAGGCTAACTTAAGTTAGAGAACGGAAACGAAAAATTCAGCAATTTTTCCATTTGTAAAGGGGCATAACTCTAGAACGGTTAGAGTGACACCACCAAAATTCAATATTGATCTGTATTTTGTGGTAATAAGCATTGTGTATAAGTTTCATAACATTTGGTTGAGGCAAACTAAAGTTAGAGAATGGAAACGAAACAGTCAGCAATTTTTCCATTTGTAAAGAGGCATAACTCTAGAACGGTAAAAGTGACACCACCAAAATTCAAACTTGATCTGTGTTTTGTGATAATAAGCATTGTGTGTAAGTTTCATAACATTTGGTTGAGGCAAACTAAAGTTAGAGAAGGGAAACAAAAATTCAGCAATTTTCCATTTGTAAAGGGGTATAACTCTAGAACGGTTAAAGTGATTCCACCAAAATTCAAACTTGATCTGTATTTTGTGGTAATAAGTATTTTGTATAAGTTTCATAACATTTGGTTGAGGCAATCTAAAGTTAGAGAACCGAAACCAACTTGGGACGTACGGACGGACAAGGGTAAAACTTAATGCCCCATCTGCTACGGCGGGGGCATAAAAAACACTTGTCATTTACTGGCAATAGCTACAACAGGAAAACAATTGTCAGTTTTGTTAATTTCATTTATTTGTTTGTCTAATCTTGCGGATCATTTTTGCTGCTCACAGTTTGCATTCAATATATATTTGAAGATAATTTTAGGAAAAAATCATAATTTAATGGTAATAATTCCTATTAGGAGTTGACTGACAATTTTCTTAATTAGGTTTATTGTTAGATCTTATTAATCTGATCATTTATGCTGTTTACTGCATTCAGTTTCTTTTTATCTTTTAAAATTTGGAAGATAGTAGACAAACAGGGATGAAAAATCCTCATTTAAGGGCAATAACTCCTATAAGAAGATGTGTGATGTTGACCTTTTTAAGAAGTTGATTGATAATGAAACAGACACCAAGTGATGGCAATTTCTCCCATGGCTCATTGTGCCAGGTGAGCAAAAAATGGGAACTTAAAAGTTTGTTGAAACCACTGATAAGCAATTCCTCATCTTGATAACCAACTTGCATCTTTTTTCATAGCATCATTTGCCTTAACTAGTGTTTCAAAGTTGTCTTTCAATCTTCTGTTTTCTTTTATTTTCTCCTTTAATTGTATTTCTATCTTCACTATCTCTTCTTTGTATTTCTGTAATATAATAATATTATAAGTTGACAGATAAACAACAAGAACAAAACATTGGTCCCTCTTCTCCTTCTGAAAATATCAACCACAAGTTGAACAATAAGATACTGCTCACTTATGATACCCCATCTTATTTTTTATTTTAAGAAACCAGTAAGAAGAAGAGCAATAGTGAAAACATATATATGCCTGTCCAAAGTCAGGAGCCTGTAATTTAGTGGTTGTCGTTTGTTGCTTTATATCATATTTGTTTTTTTCGTTTATTATTCTGTACATAAATCAGGCAGTTAGTTTTCTCATTTGAATTGTTTTACATTTGTCATTTCGGGGCCTTTTATAGCTGATTATGTGGTTTGGGCTTTGCTTATTGTTTAAGGCTGTACGGTGACCTATAGTTGTTAATTGCTAAGTCATTTAGTCTCTTGTTGAGAGTTACCTCATTGGCAATCATACCACATCTTCTTATTTTTATATTCACAGAAATGTTAATACCATACATGTATATAAAGGTCCCCTTTAGACCAGAGGAAAATTACATTATGATAGAAGTGGTCTTTGAAGTTTGTTGAAGGTTTTTATGCTTTTTATGCATACTTAACCATGAGTAAAGCCTAGCAAAGCCAGAGGTATTTTTAAAAAAAGGCATACTATTGAAAACAAATGAAACGGATCAGAATTTGATACAAACTCAGGTAAACATATATATTTTGATTTCAATTAGGGAAAATGATTTTATAAAGTACACATTGTGACATTGCTGATTTGAGCTGGATGTGGTAGCTTATATCAAGTATGTTTACTAAAGCTCTTTTCATGAGATTGATTGATTGATTGATTGATTGATTGATTGATTGTTGGCTGTTTAATGTCCAGTGGCAAATATTTCATGCATGTTCAGTATGAGAGCAAATTAACAATAAATACAAAAGGTAGGTCCTGTAATAGAGGCCATTAGTGATGAAGGTCTGGTAAATTTGGACTGCCACTGGCAAAATGAGGGTATATTGGACTGTTGGATAGGGACCAAAACATTTCCTTGCAACAGGTCACCTACGGACCCTTCAATGAGTTGTTGCACAAGTTTTTAACATGCAGAGAGCGTGGCATTCTCTTTGGCTGCATACTTGTACATCCCGGACAGCCAAACGGACACCCCACTTTTGCAATGGTTTTACTGCCAGTCGAAAGAAGACCAATGGTGACCATATTTCTATTCCCCCGGTTCATCCTTGGGTGCCTATTCATAAGATGCTTTTAGAACCCAATAAAAGAAACTCAGTGAAACATACCATAAAGTGAAAACAGAATGTCATATAGAAATAATAACTACAAATTCCAGCAACTAATATGACCACATGCATATTTCCTTGGTTTCCTTCATAGAGCCCTGTTTGAATAGTGGGAATTTTGTTTTTTGTGTTTTCCAAGATTTATTACCTACATGCAAACTGCCTTAAATTTATGACATATAATTTTGTCTAGATAGGCTAAGAGTATATTTTCTATTATTCCTTTGTATGCAATATTTCATTGGTTTAATAATTACACATGAAATCATTTATTATTAATAAATAATAGGCGAAAAATAATGTCTGATTCCTGCCTCCTAATTTTGATAGCAGATGCTAAATGAGATCATATTGCCTTTCACAAAAATATTCTAGAAATTGCATTTTGTGTTATTTAAATGGACTAAAAGTATTTTGATGAACACTTTAACTTATGGTTCTATACAAATTATAATGATTTCCAGTCCAATGAGGAACTGTGTTACAAAAAAAAAACCAAAATAAACATAACTTTCAATTTTCATACTGATCATCAATTGGACTCCTGTATCAAGAGATGATATTATCTAGCTGGATAAATTTTAATTGTAAACATCCTGATCAAGATAAAAGAAGAACTTTAATTTTTTCATATACATTTGTATATATCACATATTTAGAGAAAATAATAATCTGATCTACCTAAATATTGATTGGGTTTGACTGTACAGTATTGCAAGTTTTCAATATAGGGACTAAACATATTGGTTTAAATACCAATTAAAATGACGTTGTAGAGTCAACATTCTACTTAAACTATAATTCAACAAGCCAGGACTATTAATTCATGGGGTAATTTTGGCAGAAAACTTGTCATAAGACATTTTGACGTGAAAATATTTGCTTTTGTGATGTCGACTTTTTCAATGAAAAGATCATGTATGCAATTGGCCATTCTAATTTATCTTTCTCAGTAAATGCCATAAACTGTAATATAAAGGACTATATGAGTCAAAACATTTTGAAATATGTCTTTATTAGGCTCTGTTTGTATAGCACAAGCGAGTACTGTGTGTGGAACTTGTGAAGAATCAACAATACTGAAATGGATATGTATTGAATGTGATTTTTATTTATGCCAGGACTGTTATGTTAAATTTCATTCAAAACGCAAAACACTGGCACACCATCTTGTAATAGACATTAAGGAATATGGGACCGAAAAAATGTTAGACAAAATTCTCAAAGTAAAACTGAAGGAAATTAATTGTGAAGGATCTAAACATTACGACCAGAAATGCACCTTTTTTTGCTTAAATTGTAATAAACCAATCTGCTCAGTTGTGTAGTAATATGTCAAAAAGACTATGATTTATACAAGCTAAGTGAAATTTTTGAGGAAAAAATATGCAAACTTAAAGACATGAAAGTCAAAAGTGATGAAAACATTTCTATATGCAAATATGAAGAGCAAGAACTGCAAGTTATGCTCTCCAATGGAAGTAAACAATTTAATGACACAAAGAAAGAATTTTGCAAAACCAAAAAATGTTTATGGATCGTATACAACACTATTTTGACAGCCTTTTAAAAGATGGGGAAACACAGTGGAATTTTACCAGAGAGACAATCAATAAAGAACTTGAACTATCCAAAGAAATAGTCAACAAATGGAAGAACAAAAGGAACAATTAGACCAGATTTTAAATCACCATAAAATCTCAGAGATTCTTACTTCAAATGTGTCAACTATCTCTAATAATTTACCATCAAACTGTTTATCAGATGACATTGCAACAGGCTAAGTTTAAACCTGGTATTCTATCTGTAATAAGAGATTTTTGTGACAATATTTGGTTATTTGGACATCTCTACAAGGGTTCTGATTACGAAATGATTGGATTTTATTCAACAATAAAATGCTCCGCTGGGCGCAGCTTGATACGACCGCAGAGGTCAAACCTTGAACAGTTGGGGCAAGTATGAACACAACATTCAAGCTTGATACAGCACTGAATTTGGATTGTGATTAAATATTTGACACAGCATAGGTTTCTGACATGTCTGACACAGAATGAATGTGGTCTAAGAACTTAAAAAATTTTAATTTACCTATTCAAACCATATCATTATTATTTGCTTTAAATTTATATATAAATCACAAATAACCAGTTTAAAATGGAAAATTTTAAGGAAAAAAAAAGGAAAAAAAATCCCTACCCCAAATTTTTTGAACCCCCTTATGATTCATCACCCCCAAACTCAATCCCAGCCTTCCCTTTGTGGTATGGTACCTTGCAGTACAATTTCAGAGAGATCCATACACTTGAACACAAGTTATTGTCTGGAAACTAGAAAAATGCTTGTTTTAAGGCCCCTTTTTGGCCCAAAATTTCTACACATTTAGGGCAATTAACCCCAAACTAAAACCAAGCTTTTCCTTTGTGATATGGAACCTTGTAGTACAATTTCATAAAGATCCATACACTTACACACAAGTTATTGTCCTGAAACTAGAAAAATGCTTGTTTTTTGCCCCTTTTTGGCCCCTAATTCCTAAAATTTTGAGGCAATTACCCCCAAAATCAATCCCAGCCTTCCCTTTGTGGTATGGTACCTTGCAGTACAATTTCAGAGAGATCCATACACTTGAACACACATTATTGTCTGGAAACTAGAAAAATGCTTATTTTTGGCCCCTTGTTCCTAAACATTTTTGGCAATTACCCCCAAACTCAATTCCAGCTTTACCTTTGTGATATGGAACCTTGTGGTACAATTTCAGAAAGATCCATAAACTTACACACAAGTTATTGTCATGAAACTAGAAAAATGCTTGTTTTTTCCCCTTTTTTGGCCCCTAATTCCAAAAATTTTGAGGCAATAACCCCCAAAATCAATCCCAGCATTTCCTTTGTAATATAGAACCTTGTGGTACCATGTCAGAGAGATCCATACACTAACACACAAGTTATGTCTGGAAGTTACAAAAATGCTTATTTTTGGCCCCTTTTTGGTCCCTAATTCCTTAACTGTTGGTACCATAACCCCCAAAATCAATCCCAACCTTCCTTTTGTGGTATTGAAACTTATGGTAAAATTTCATAGAGATCCATTCACTTAAACTAAAGTTAGAGTGCGAAAAACCAATGTGTCTTCGGAAGACGACGACGCCAACGCCATACCAATATACGACCACAAAATTTTTTTGCGGTCGTATAAAAATGAGGTATGTTTCTAAAATTATTCACTCACAAAATAATTCTGGCATCATTGCTAATTGTGAAGATGAATTAATACAAAAAGTTAAATTTGAGGTGGACGATATTAAAGTTGAAAATGAGATGAAGACCAAAGTTTTTGATCTAGCCTTGATGCTTGATGGCAAACTTCTTCTTTCTAAGGAAACAACTGAATTAGAACTCATTAATATGGATGGGGATAGAGAATTGTTTTACTCTTTTTCTCCTTTTCATACATTTGGTGTGTATGTTCATAAAGATCAGATATTTGTCGGCATTGCAAAATCTTTAGAAAAATCAAAGAACTACCAGGATGGTAGAATAGTGGTATTGGTATTGCATATGAAGGGACAAGAAATATGCACATTTGGAAAAGAAGTTAAATCTGGAAAATCGTTCTTTACCTGTCCAACCAGGATTGTAGCTAATTCTGACATTATATGTGTAATTGATACATTAAAGAGAAACAAAGACAATCAAATGCTTTCACATGGTAGGATAGTTAGAATAAATTATAAATGGGAGGAAAAGTGGTCATATTCAAGTAAATCAGGAGCTATCTCTAAAAAATTAAAACCACAAGATATAACAATTACATCAGCAGGTCTTATTCTGATAAGTGATTACTTAGACAATGCAATACATGCAATCAATGAAGATGGGGATGTTACTGGGTGGATTAAGCTACACGATATTGGTTGTCCAATGTATCCAACTTCTCTGGATGTTGATGATCAAGGGATTTTATGGTTTGAGTGTGAAACAAAAAAATCCTATCAAGAAGTTAAGACTCATACAATCTATTCATTCAAACTTTCATAGTTTGTTGGATGCCATTTGCTTTTTATTAAAAACTTTACTCAGACTTAATGGTAATCATTGTTTGTGATATGTTTTTACATTTTCATATAAATATGAAAGTGGGGAAAACCTCAAAGGTTCAAAGACATTAGTTAACCAAAATAGGCACCTAAACATCACAAAACCATCACACCAGACAGCCTACAAAAATTGAAAAGAGTCTGCATTGTATGACAGGACCTAATTTGCCTTAATATAAGTTTAAACATTTTTGTCAATAAAGTCAACAAAGACAAACACTTGCATATGTAACAAAAAAACAAAAATCTAATTAAACCTAAAAACTTGATGAGTTAGCAACATTCAGACAAGATTCTAAGCTTTGGCATAGAAATGCAGGATATGGTTAGAATCAGCATATCAAAGAACCACAAGAACTCATTTTTTGATGAAATCAAACAAAGTTTAATTTTAGACCCTTTGGACTTCAATGTGGACCAATTTGATAACGGAGCCCAAAATCAAAATCTAAATACATGTTTATTAATAGACAATATAAGCTTAGTTTTTAAAGGAGTTGGCTTCATAAAAAAAAAATATATATAGCATTCAGAAAATTAGTTTATACAGAATAACAAACAACATGAACAAGCCTACCACAAAATTCTTCAAACAATTTACCAAAGAAAACAAAAAAATAATTTCCAAAATATCATTCATCACTATTACAATGTCTTTAAAATCTGTAAAACTTATCTGTAACTAACTTCAAATTATCTAATAATGAACAGTAAATTTCAAACTATATCTATACTGTCTTACAGAGCTTATTATCAACAACACTTAGGAAACACAAAATTTTCAAATAAATCTGTCACTCCAATTATAATTGTGTTATTGATAATTACCACATGTTTTGTTATCTGATTAATAGGTGAACAAGTTTTGCATGAATACATTAATAGTAAATACATTGTACTAATCCATATGTACAAATGTGTATATTTAGTTAATTGTAAAAATCTATTATACAAATTGTGTGTAGTTTTATAAGAAAAAAAATTAAATTTTCAATTTCTTTTTGTTATGTGTAGGGAAATTTTATTATAAACTTTCCTTTATTCTTTTTTAATTTAATTTCTATGATTTGTATATAAAGATGTTAAATATTATTCAAAATATCTAATAATGAACAGTAAATTTCAAACTATCTCTATAAATAATTTCTTCTCTAAAATTAGATATGATGCTGTATCTATTTTTAACTATGACTCATCTAAAAATTTCCGATTAATTGTGCAATACATCTCTTGATTTAGATTCCGATAAAAATATTTGATATAGCATAGTTTCTGACACAGAATGAATATGATCTAAGTACTTAAATAATTTAAAATTGGACCATTACCAACATGACCAATTATGGTCGCATATCCAAATTATAAATATATGGTTGGAATCAGCATATCAAAGAACCCCAAGAATTAAATTTTTGAAGAAATCCAACAAAGTTTAATTTTGGACCCTTTAGACATGTTAGACCTCAATGTGAACCAATTTGATAACAGGACCGAACATCCAAAATCTAAATGCACATTTAAATTCAGCATATCAAAGAACTTATATATTCAATTTTTGTTGAAATCAAGAAGTTTAATTTTTAACCCCAATTTCAACCAACTTGAAAACTGTGCAAAAAATTTAATTATATGCTTAGATTCAGCATATCACAGAATCAAAAAAAATAGTTTTTGTTAGAATCAAACTAAGTTTAATTTTGGATCCTTTTGACCTTAATGTGGACCAATTTGAAAAACAGGTCCAAAATCAAAAATTTATAACACTGTTAGATTGCACACATTAAAGAACATCAATAATTTAATTTTTGATGAAATCAAACAAAGTTTAATTTTGGACCCCAATTTGGACCAACTTTAAAAACCAAGTCCAAAATCAAAAATCTAAAACATGTTGGATTGGGCATATCAAATAACACCACTAATTCTATTTTTGATGAAATCAAACAAAGTTCAATTTTGGACCCCAATTAGGACCAACTTAAATACTGTGTCCAAAATCAAAAATCTAAATACACACTTAGATATAGCATCTCAAAGAACCCCAACAATTAATTTTTTTTTAAATCAAACAAAGTTTAATTTTGGACCCTTTGGACCTTAATGAGGATCAATTTGAAAAACAGGCCCCAAAATTAAAAATCTAAATACATGGTTAGATTCAGCATATCAAAGAAAACCAATAATTCAATTTTTGAAGAAATCAAACAAAGTTTAATTTTGGACCTTTTGAACCTTAATTTGGATCAATTAAAAACAGACCCAAAATCCAAATAATAAATACACAATTAGATTCAGCATATTAAAGAGCCCCAAGAATTCAAGACTTTGAATTAAACCCCATTGAAATTGCTAAAGAAATAAGCAATTTATACAAAGTATTACAAAAGAATTATTTTTGGCCCCTTTTAACTAAACCGTTACGGTCATAACCCCTTAATTCAATCCCAAACTCTATACTATGGTATAACACCTTGTGACACAATTAAATACCAATAAATAGACTTATACTCAAGTTATTGTCCAGAAATCAAAAAATCCTAGTTTTTTGGCCCCTTTTCTGCCCCTTATTATTAAACGGTTTGGACCATGACCCCTTAAATTAATCCCAACTTTCCTTTTGAAGTATTGAACCTTGTAGTAAAATTTCATAGAAATCCATACTCCATTAC